GAAAAATTATGCTGAAGGGCAACCAGCAAAAATTCATACCAGGTAGATCCTGCCTGACTAACCTTGTTTCTTTTTATGACCAGGTCACAAAGTGCTTAGACACAGGAGTCAAGGTAGATATCATTTACTTGGATTTTAGGAAGGCCTTTGATACAGTTTCTCATCTTATTCTCATAAATAAACTGAGCAGCTGTGACATAGATGACTACATGGTCAGGTGGGTGGCAAATTATCTTAGGGATCACACCCAGAGCGTGATGGTGGATGGATCGGTATCAACCTGAAAGTATGTGGGCAGTGGAGTCTCACGAGGCTCAGTCCTTGGACCTGTGTTCTTCAATGTCTTCATCAGTGACTTGGATGAGGGTGTGGAGAGCACTTTGTCCCAATCTGTGGATGATACCAAACTAGGGGATAAAGTTAACACACTAAAGGGTAGGGAATGGATCCAGGTAGATCGTGATGTGTTGGAAAAGCAGGCAGAACAGAATAGGATGCAGTTCAATAAAGACAAGTGCAAAGTGCTGCACCTAGGGAGGAGAAATCACCAACACACTTATAGGCTGGGGGAGGACCTTCTCAGCAGCACAGCAGTGGAAAGGGATCTTGGAGTCATAGTTTACTCCAAGATGAACATGAGTCGTCAATGTAACAAAATGATCAATAAAGCTAACTGCACTTTATCATGCATTAGCAGGTGCATGATGAACAGGTCCAGGGAGGTGATACTACCACTCTATGCGGCATTGGTCAGGCCGCAGTTAGAGTACTTTGTCCAGTTTTGGGCACTGTACTTCAAGAGGGATGTGGATAACCTTGAGAGGGTCTGGAGGAAGGCCACTCATATGGTTAGGGGCCTGCAGGCAGAGCCCTACAAGGAGAGACAGAGGGATCTGGATCTCTTCAGCCTCCACAAGAGAAGGCTGATAGGTGATCTTGTGGCCGCCTACAAATTCATCGGTGGGGGGGTGGGGGGCACCAAGGAACAGGATATGCTCTGTTTACCAGGGCACCCCTTGGGGTAACTAGGAACAATGGCCACAAACTGACAGAGAGCAGATTTAGGCTAGACATCAGGAAGAACTTCTTTACAGTAAGGGCTGCCAGAATCTGGAATGGGCTCCCAAGGGAGGTGGTGCTCTCCCCTACCTTGGGGGTCTTTAAGAGGAGACTGGACAAGTACCTAGCTGGGGTCATCTGACTTCAGAGCTCTTTCCTGCCCACGGCAGGGGGTCAGACTCGATGATCTACTGAGGTGCCTTCCGACCCTAATATCTATGACTGCGAAGTGCTCATTTAAAGCACAGTGGGCATTTAGCAGTACCTACACACAGTAAAAACACTGGAATCACTAGAATACAGCAGTACTTTTTTATGTTGTATGAAACATTTATGTTGACTTTAGGGTCTTACTTATTGCCTTTTGTATTGCTAGGTTCAGTCCAAAGTGCACCAAAAGGACTCCTACTGACTTCACTGAGTTTGGAATCAGTGCCTTTATGGGACTACATTGTCACCTTACTGCCTGATCTCAACATGGGACAATGCAAAGTTGCGTCACACCAGAAACAGTGCAGGAAGGATGACTTGAGAGCCACCATCTGCCTCCCCATATCCTTTCTGCTCTGGGAAGAAAGTAAACTGCACTGGCTTTATCCCTTGCACACGTTACCCATTGCAGCTATGCTGGCCAATGCATTGGTATGGGGGATGTGGAACTAAAGGTCTAAGTTAGTGGTAGCCAACCTTTTTTGGTAGGCATACCACAAGCTAAGTCCAATCTCCCCCCCTGCCTTAGTGACACTCCAGTCCCTTTCCTCTGCCTGATCTGCCACACTGCTTTCTGCTCCTTGCCTCATCTGCTGCACTGCTCTCTGCTCCCTGCCACTTGCCTAGTCTGTCACATAACAACACAGTGCCTGTCTGTGCTAGCTGTGGCACATGTATTGTGTTGCCCCCCCCGGCCCCTTGCATCTGTTGGCAGGGGATATCTTGGTGGAACCTACTTTTCTTTCTATGCTGGGAGCTGAAGTATGTGTAGCCTGTACAAGAGAATAGTTAGACCTTCAGGTCCTCTTGCAAGGTCATATGAATTTAATGCTTAGCTAGATTTTAAGAATGCTAACTCATTGCTTTAGACATTAGAAAAAGAATCTGCTGGTGACCTAAACGTAATCTGCCTACTATTTTCCTGACTGGATAACCACATCCAGTGGGATCAACCTTTACTGTGGTCAAAATCAATGAAGACACAATCAGTTTCAGGACCTGGCACATCAGAGCCCTCATGACCAATCCTAATAGTGAACATCTAAGAATGCCACACTGTAATCATGGCTCAAGAAATCAGGAGACACAACACTGACATTGATGCACTGAGCAAGACCCAATGAACAAGAGATAGGCACCTCAAAGAGCAAGGAAGCATCTATATCTTCTTCTGGAAGGGTAAACAAGGAGAACACCGACTCACTTCACAGAGTTGGCTTTGCCATTACGAATGCATTCATAAACCAAGGCAGAGTTCCTAATTGGAATTAATGAGCACCTCATGACTCTTCATCTCAAACTGGCAGGAAGCCAATATGCCACTGTCATCAGCATCTATGCCCCAACTCTTGAATCCAAAGAGGAATTCCAAGCCAACCTTGACCAAGTCCTTTCTGACATTCTGGAGGGAGATGAGCTTATTCTGCTCAGCAGTTTCAATGCCCGAGTCAGAAGGGACTTGAATCTCTGGAATGGAACCATCGGCAAGGAGGGAATTGGAAAAGTCAATGCCAATGGCATCTTCCTCTTGACCAAATGTACAAAACAGATTCACCATCAGGTTCCACCAGAAAGCCAGGTAGAAGACATCATGGCAACACCTGTGATTTAAGCATTGGCACTTAATTGACTATGTCATCATTCGTGCCCGGGATCACAAGGATGTCCGCATCACTCAAACTATGCTAGGAGCTGATGATGATTGCTGGACTGATCACCAACTCATCTGCTTGGTTATGTCACTCAAACTGGCTCCCAAACGATGGCTACAGCAGAAGGAATGCTGATAAAAGGGCAACATTGACCTCTTCTACCACTGCCTCAATGAAAAGCTGGTGAACTTCAATCAGTAACAATGAGAGAATGTTGGCAGCCTTTGGAATGCCTTCATGTCCACTGTCATCAGTGTCTGTGAAGAGACACTTGGATTCTCTACCAGGAAACACCAAGACTGGCTTGATGAAAATAACTGGGGGGAAAAAAGGCTGATCGACCACAAGCGCAAGGCTTTTTGCGTTTGGCAGAATGACACTGACTCCAGGCAAAAGAAACTGAATCACCAACAAGCCAAGGCAGAGGTCCAAATGAAGACCTGCAATGTGAAGAACAGGTGGTGGGAGGCCAAGGGGAAAGAAATTCAACATCTTGCTGACATGCAGAATATGTGCAGTTTTTTTAGTGCCACGAAAGCCATCTATGGTTGGAGCATAAGGATGGAGAAGACATGATCAAGGAAAGTGGAGCCATCAATGCCCATTGAAGGAACATGTTGAAGTTCTTCTCAATTGAGACTGTTGTTGACCAGTGTTCTCAACTCCATCCTGCAACACCCAGTCAGGGATGATCTCAGAATCCCTCCAACCCCTGACGAGGTGAGGAAAGCCACCAAGTAGATGAAAATGACAAGGCACCTGCAGCTGATGGAATCCTTGCCAAAAATCTTTAAGCCAAGGGGAGAGGAGCTCACATCACAGCTCCATGCCCTCGTCTTAAGGATCTGGAATGATGAGGAAATCCCACATGACTTCAGGGATGCCATGATTGGGACAATCTTCAAGAAAGGAGACAGGTCTGACCATGGAAATTACAGAGGGATTTCCTTGCTGTCGACCACAGGAGACATCATTGTAAGAACTCTCCTGAACCATCTCCTTCCACTTGCTAAAGAGCACCCCTTAGAATCTACGTGTGGGTTTAGGGCATCAAGAAGCACAACTAACTTGATTTTCACAACTTGCCAGGTGCAGGAAAAATGCTGGGAACAACATAACCCTCTCCATGTGGCCTTCTTTGACCTCATGAAAACCTTCAACTCTGTCAACCAAGAAGCACATTTGTTTACCTCAATAAAGTAAAAAAACTGGACTTGGCATATGCACAGCTAGCCTTTCTAATTGCTCTGTACACTGGCTACAACTGCACATTCAAGGCCATTTTCAAAACCAGTAAGTTAGAGGGGAAAGACCTTAATTTTAATGTTACCAACTTTTCAAAATTAAAATTGAAGCCAGACACTGCTCAAAGACTATTTTAATAACGTCTTTATCTATAAGCCAATAGTTCAGACACTTAAATATTATAGTTTGTTTCTATGTTGACAGGTTCTATCTTTCGGTATATAGTAAATGTAATTACTGATAACTTGATGGCACTATTTAGTTAAGAAGAAGATGGAAATGATCATTAAGCTGAGTTGTTTCCTGAATACACACCATCTGTCACACTAAGTTTCCTTTTTGGGTCTTACTAGCCACCTGCAAAACATGAACTACCTAACATCATATTTATAGCTTCAAAATATTCAATAGGGAACAGCCAAATCCCTTTATGTAGACAAAATAAGCTTAGAGAATTTTATTTAAATTTCTTTCTTAATGGATGACAATTGGACACAGCTCGAGGAGGAATTTTTAAACAGAATGATATATTTAATCTGTTATAACTTCATCAGTGTGGTGTACAAGTTTAGCCAGAGAATTATGGTGCACCAGTTGTGTCTGATGCAAGATTCGACTACCTCAGATTAAGGTGGAACTCAGAGTCATAGTTAAGTCTTCCATTTTGTCTCAGGGAAGATGACAAATGCTCCTCGTGGAGACTTGCTTAGTTGCAACATTCTAAGAACATGGACTTGTAACTACTGTAGTTTATTAGAACACTCAAATGAGTTCTGAATTATGAAATTCTAGGTCAGAAAAGGTCAAAGTCCCATATGCACACTTGGAAATTATACTTCACTCTGGCTTTAGAAAAGGGAAGCAGGCTATTGAGAGCCGTGACCATTTGAACAGCTTCCATATATGCAGTCAAACTTGTTCAGTTACATCCAGTGATTGCAGCAATCACTAGACAATTTCTGCACTAAAGACAAGGTACATGGAAGGTGATTCCATCTGTCGCCCATTTCCTGAGCCTTTCTGGATAGGGTGGAATATAAATTTAAATTACAATAACAACACGGACAAAGGGCCATCAAGTAGACTCCAAACAGGGGAACTATCTGGTAACAGACCTGAAGAGTGCAGAAGAGAGAGTTTACCAGGATAAGTAGGGGCTGGAACATGGCATGATGCAGGAAAAATTACAAGTTTTCCCTGTTTTGATTATACTGATGCCTTACTAATTTGATGAAAGTATTGCAGCAGAGGTAGGTCTAACAAACAGGCTGGAGTAGGCTGGAGTCCAGAAAAGGAGCATTAAATCACTACTACTTAAAGCAGTATTAATTTCTGTGTCCTTTGTGTACTGAGAGATTGCAAGATGCAAACATCAGCACTAGATCAGTGTTGGTTTGGATCCCAACCAAATGTGGCAGATTTGGCCGGGATCCAAACCAAAGCTGAACTGAAAGGTGAGGGGAGTGGGAAGCTGGAGAGAGTGCACTGTACAACTGAGATTTGCAAGCTAGAGTAGCAGCTGGGGAGCAGCTCTGACACCACATCACAGATCTCACCCCCAAGAAAGCTTTCCAGACCCCAGGTCTAGTTATTTGCACTAGTGTTTTGACTACAATTTGGACAACTGGGAGGAAATTAATGGAATAAATATACTTAGAGAAGCTAAAACCAATAAATACTAGCATTTATGGGAGCAACCTACCCTCTTAATGGAGAGGACTAACTATTGTAGAGGAGAAAGCAACAGGCCAGTTCCATTTTGATGGGAAGTGTAAAAAAATGCCTTTTATTCACTTTTTACTTAATTATGCATACAAAACTCTTTTAGCCATCACCAAGGGACCAATAACAGTCTAGAAGAATACTAACAGGTATGAATATATTCTGACTAAAATCAGTGGGAACCTCTGAATATATCTAACACTGTCATTTTAACACCTTTCAAAGTGTAACCTCCACCACAAAAGGAGGATAGAAAACAGCATTTAAAAATACACTGCCCTACTTTCTAGGAAGTCCATAAATAGGAATGCGACTACAGTTTCGCTAAGGATTCCCACTTCCCATTCTCTCTCAAAGCACTCTTTAATATTATTGATGTGTTACAAAATACAAAATTGGTTAAACAACATACAATTTCACATCTTAAAATCAGAAGTGAATCAGTCTCACAGCTTGACAGTAGGCTCAGTGTCAGGTGCTGTAATCTCAGAGTTTGCTTGGAGCTTTCATGATGGAACCCACATGTTTCCATGAGTATCCGGTGCTTTGGTGTAGGGGATATTCCAAATCCATGGTCGGTCTACAAAACAGAAACAAAAAATATGCACATGGGTGAAATCCTAACCCCTTCCTTGAAATCAAGGGTGAAACTGCCACCAATTTGATTGTAGTTAGTATTTCAATTCAACTCTTAAATTCAGTTGTTTGAGAAAATTTACTGAGGTCTTGCTAAAAGTGAGATTCCAAGACAGGTATTTTAAAGAGGCTCTGCTTTTTCCATATGGCTGTCCTTTTCAATGCAAATATGACAACTTGATGTTCTTACACACACACTGATGAAAAGTATGTCAGAGAGAGCTTATACAAATTTTAATACAGCAGAGCTTACTTTGGTCCATAGGTTGTAAAATTATAGACAGCAGACATTTTGATTCAATAGCAACATAAGGGAGGATTTCAGCCTAGGGATATTTTAGTTATTCACATGGGCAGTAATGACTATTTCACAGGAAAGGTGTTTTCAGGTGAGGAGAGGCCCTCGGTTACAGGAACGCCACCCTAGAGAGGCGCAAACGCATAGGTTTGATGTTTCATCCTTCCTTCTCGCCTTGCAAAAAATCTCAGAAACTCAAGGGCTAGGGATTGTACACAAGTATAAAGATGGGGTGTGGACAGGGAAAGGTAAAGTCAGGAAGTTGCTACAATGATGGGCATGATACTGGTCACCAGAAATGAGACAGGGAGTTAATGCTGCTTCAAGAAACACTGAATTCTGTAAATTCCCTCTTACAGTTCTCATTCATGCATTCAATTTATACACTGCTGTTCCCAGGAAGGTTCAGAATGGATTACAAATAAAGACAAAACTACTCTCAAGGTATGAAACAGCAGACTTCCCAGAACTTTAAAACTCCATCCCACCCCACCCCACCCCCTCCCAGTTCTCAGGGATGGCTGTTAATGGAAACATTCCTGCCTCTGCAAGTGTTTCAAAGTGAGAAAGGAGAAGGTGAGAAGTGCTGAACCACAACAGCTCCAGAGAGCAATGGATTTTTGTGGGCATCTCAAGACTTCAAAAGCTGTGTGCATCTCAGGATATCAGCTGATTTAAGAAATCAAACTTGGTTCAGGTCCTCTAGGCATCTCCTAATGGAATGAGAAAAGAATGCCTTGAGGTGAACCTCAGAGTTACTTGCCTCATAAATGATATCTCTGTGTAAACTGGACTGCCTCTGTTTCCTCAACTGTCAAATGAGATCCTGAGTTCTTACCTTTTTTACAGGGAGGCAAGGATTTTTTGTGATATCTTTGATTGGACCATCTGTCTAGTTGAAAGAGACGTTGAACAAAGTTTTGGACATGAAGTGCCCTTTTCAGGTCCTTTTACAGAAAGGCATTCTGGGGATTAATTACTTCATGTTCTTGCATCTTCCCAAACACTAAGCATGTTAGCTATTGCATATATGTATAAATACTATACAGCAGAGAAAATTTCTCCAGTCCTAGAGGAAAAGCAGTGACTGTTTAGCTTTTAGTCTGTGCAATATGATTTGTATTATATGAGAATGATACAGAAGCACTTCTATTATCAAAACAACAAGGGCTGGCTTTTCTGGCAGCTGTATATTTAAAGCAGTGCAGTAACTTGCAATGCTGTGGTAGGTAAAGATGATCTAGACAGACAAGTAGGATGACTTTTAATCACTGACTTGCGTCACTTGATTGTCTAGTTATTACTATACATGTTTTAATTTTGTGGGATTTAGCTAAGATTCTCTTCAAATGTAAAACGTTAAATAGCAGAATAAGAGAAGAACAACAGCAGGGGAGGGTAATTAACGTGTACATTATACAACAAAGCACTATGTTCTGAGACAGGTGCCAAGGCAATTAAAAATGCTTTTGTTGCCCTCACTATTGAGTTAAGTGTGAATCTCTGGAGGAGGACTATAGTCCCATATTTTACAGTGCAAAGATATACATGGGAAGAGAGAAGGGGATTTAGGGGAAAAACCTGAAATGTAAAATATATTCTTATTCACGTTGCATAGGGTGGTATTACAGGTTACTTTCAAATAGTCAGAAAGGCACTTAAAACAGGAGCATTCACACATTAAAGGGTCTTATCCTGTTTTAAGTACCCTCTAAACTTTTTAAAGACAAGTCAATTAAAATGATGTTTGCCTTTGTTCCATCTTACCCAGGTCATTCCAGGGTATTTTTAGTTAGTTCCAGGGAGTAAAATGCTTAATTTGCAGTCCTTCAGCATCCCAGGATGCACAGCTCCCAGCCCCATTACCCATCTCCCCACCCTTCCCCAAGAGCAGCTGCACTGTGTGGCTTAAATACAGCAATACCACTGGGGGAAACATGGTTCCCTGACTCCATGGTCTTGCTGCCCAGTGGCTCTTTGCTCAGTGCAGAGCTGCCAGAACTTAAATTCAAAGCTACCACGCAGCCAGGGGAGGCATGCTTCCCTCAGCTCCCTTGTCTCACCACGCAGCAGCTCTGTGTTGAGAATGGAGCTGCTACACAGCAAGACCAGGGAGCCTGGGGAAGTGTTCTTCCCTGGGATCCCGGCATGAGTGACTGGTGCCTCCTGAATCTGGGAGGCATCCGCAGAAGATGCCAACCCTGTCACAGGGGGCACCAGCCCTACCAACAGTATCAGTGTTGGCCAACAGGGGGGCACCGGCCCCATCAGGGGGGCACATGCTCCTCCATGCACCCCCTACCAGTCATCTATGAATCCCAGATCTCACTTAAATTAACACGGTGGCTCCATATTGAGAACAAAGCCACTGAGGATTAGCTCCCGGCAGCTCTGCTCTCAGCATGGAGACACCATGTGGCAAGACCAGGGAGCCTGGGAAAGCATTCTTCCCTGGGCTCCAGGGTCTCACTGAAATTAATGCAGTGGCTCAATGCTGTGAGTGGAGCCACCAAGGATTAACCCCCAACAGCTCCACTCTCAGTACAGAGCTGCCAGGTTATCCAGTGTAATCCAGTGGTTCTCAACCATGGTGACATGGCACCCTGAGGTGCCTTGAGATCCCTTCAAGGGTACCACACAATGTTAACACTGTTAAGTTTACACCCATGACTCACAAGATAAACCTAGAGATTTCAAATACAAAAATTCATACAAAAAATGAATGAAGACTAAGCTGGCATTCACTGAGAGATGCCTCAAGTCTATCAAGGGGTGTCTTGAGTCTGTTGAGGGGTGCCTCAAGTAATATCTTGACAAGGGTATTTACATGCATCCAGTTCACTGGAGTTAGATAGGGAGAGAGAAACAGTTGCTGGGAAGGTATGCCTGGATATTGCCCAGACAGATAGCGAATACCTATCGAAGTCATGCTTAGCTCTTACGTAGAACTTGTCATCCATGTATTTCAAAGCACTTTGCAAAGGAAGCTCAGAATCGTCTCTCATATTGGGAAACAGTCTGAGAGGCTTTCCAACACTACACAGCAACCTAGCAGAACTCAGTTGTCCTGACTGATGGATCAGAGCACGAGCTAGACAACATTGTTTCTTGCCTATTTCATCCCTATCACTACATGAGCAATATCAAGGATGCGATGATGGCAAGATCTTTCATTCCCTTCAGACCACAGCTGAGGCACACGAGTGAAAGCTGCCCTGTGGCCTATGCTATATCTACTGTGTGAACTTAATTCTCTAGGGCATCTTTAATTTTGTCAGAACTAAAATCAACCAGAGACAAAGCCGTCTCCTTGCTGAGTCTCCCTCATCTCCACCTCCAAGCTACCTGCCATGCTCTCCCCCCCAAATCCAGAGGATCAGTCTCTTTGAACCTGAACTCTGAAGATACTTCCATAGGGATCCAAACCTTGTGGCTCAGCATGGGCCTGATCCAATGCCTGCTGAAGCTGCTAGCAATCTTTTCATCCGGTTTTATGTGAATCAATCTGTTCTTGACCTAGAAAGTTTTGATTTGATCCCTGGAGTCAGACCTCAGAAAAGAGCACATCACACAAGCCTGAGCACCAGAAAACTCGAAGTTTGCACTTTATTCATTTTCACAGAATAAATGCCCTTTTCTTTTTTGTATGAACTGTACTATGTGAGGGCAGGAAATGGACCAGGAAAAGGAGATTTCCAGCCCTGGTCCCTTCCAGTAAAGTGGCTATTTGAACATTTTCTAAATTCCTAGATACAGTATCTTTTGAGGAGCTTTTGCCAATTGTATGTGGTAGGATAATTTAAAAAAAAATAAAAGGATAATGATACACCATTGATAATCAATGAAAGTTGGGTACCAAACTTCCAGTGCACCGTTGAAATCTCCCCTGAGAATTCCTCATTCAGTTGAAAGCTAAACAGAGACATTACCAGTGATCCATTAAAACAAAACAAAACAAAAAAAAGAGACAATGAACCCTTCTAGTCAATCCTGGATGCTCATATCCACTATAACAAAGTTCTGCCTGAAAGTCATGCATGCTTTCTGAGTCTGATATCAGAAATAAAATATCTGTTACATATGCTGCCATCCACCAGCCTTACTATGTAACGAATGCATTTCACCACACTGTCTCTCTACATATAATACTTCAATAGTTATCATAGTAGAGTGCCTAGTAAAAATGAGTCTCAACTAAATTTTGGGGGAGGGAGAATTGGGGCCTAAAACATAAGTGAAGGTCTTCCATCAACAAGCTCTAATGAGCAGTCCCTAGCTCTGGTCATTCAGATTCATGGTGAGATTCTGCAGAATGTTGAGTATTACTTGTTCCTCAGAAGACATCACTCAAAGAAGGCTGACGCTGATGAAGAAATCCAACATTGCCTCTAATGTGCAAGTGCAGCATTCAAACACCCGAGGAAACGGGTGTTTAAAGATTGCAAGATCAGATCCCAAACCAAGCTCATGGTTTATCAAGCAGTTGTGATCCCCACCTTATTGTATGGAGTTGAGATGTGGACAATGTACAGGAGACACCTCAGACTTGGAGAAGTACCATCAATGATGCTTGTGGAAGAACCTTTGAATCCAGTGGGAAGACAGACGCACCAATGTTAGCATCCTTTCACAAGCAAACACAACAA